TATGATACACTTAATAATAATAAAAATTTGCGCCGTACTAAAGCAGACAAAATAAATGCAATAGTAATTATGAAAGAAAATGATTACCAAGAAAAAATGAATAATCTCTTAGATGATACTGAAACCTATTCTAAACTTAGAAAAAATCCCCTAGAAACCGTTAACAGCAATTTCAATAAAACAATAAAACTTCTACTGAAAGGCAAAGATGAATTAGTCAAACAATTTACTTCCTCTAATCCATCTTTGCCTTACATGTATGGACTAATAAAAACACACAAACCAGGGAATCCAGTCAGACCAATTATTAGCTCCATAGGGTCAGTTTCATATAAATTATCCAAATGGCTTGTTGATATTTTGAGCCCTATTGTTGCAAAATTTCTAACTTTAATGTTAAAAGCAGCATAGATTTAGTTGATAAATTAAGCTCCTTGACTGACTAAAATAATTTTAACATGATTAGTTTTGATGTTACTTCCTTGTTTACGAAAGTTCCTGTTGATGACTTATTAAGTTTCTTATCTGAAGAACTCGTTAATTATGATTTACCATTGCCAGTTCCTACTATCATTAAATTTATTAAACTTCACATTGTTGATGCAAAATTTGTATTTAATGATAAGTTTTACACTCAGAAGTTTGGTATGGCAATGGGAAATCCTCTTTCACCTGTTCTTAGTAACCTATACATGGAATTTTTTGAAACAAGGCTGCTTAACAATCCTCCATAATAGAGCTAAATGGTTCAGATATGTTGATGATATTTGGTGTCTTATGCCCAAGAATGTAGATATACACCATTTCCTTGGCAAATTAAATAGCTTAGCCCATTCTATAAACTTTACTGTTGAATTTGAAGAAAATAACTCATTGCCTTTTCTAGATGTTTAAATTATTAAGGGTAATAATGAATTCAAATTTAAAATTTACAGAAAACCTACAAATAACTGTTCCTATGTCCACTATTATTCTTCGCATCAAGATAGAGTCAAACTGTCTGTTTTCTCATCAATGTTTTTGAAAGCTTTACGAATTTGTAGTCCAGCGTTCATAGGTGAGGAAATATCCAAAATTTACGAGATAGATAATGATTTGAAAGTCCCAAGAAACATAATTGATAAATCTTTTAAAACTGCTAGAAATATTTTTTACAATCCAAAAAGGGACAACCAGCCTTATTCAACTAAAAATATGTTGGTTCTCCCTTACCATGAAAACTTGGTTGATATGCCTTCTTTTCTTAAGACTTTTAATATCAAAGTTGTATTTAAAAATCTTGATACAGTAAAAAAACTTTTGATAAAGAATTCCCCCCAAAATGCTGACGGATGTGTCTTTAAGATTCCTTGTAAAATTTGCGATAAATTTTATTACGGTCAAACTGGTAAAAGTCTAGAACTTAGATTAAAACAACATAAATATAGCATTAGAACTGGACAAGATTCCAATGATCTATTTATTCATGTGAGAGATTTTAAACATACAATTGATTTTCAAAAAGTTGAGAAAGTTGTATCAAGCAAGTCCATGGTTCACAGGAATATAATTGAATCTTGTTTCATAAAAAGCAATTTTGATAATAATATAAATATTTCCTTTGGTTTAAATAAATTAAATCCATTTATAATTAATAGAATTTGGGAACAATTCAATAATACATTGGGCAAATAATAAATTTTAAAATTCTTAATTCCTAGGTAGAATAGTTTGTTCGTGGGTTGTGTGAAGGATCTGTCTAGTTGGGCTAGTGGGCCTGCTGCAGTGTTCCCTTTCTTATGAGTCGCGCATCAGGTGTTGCTTTGTTGTGGGATGCGACTGTGAGGTGTGGTCTATACCCTTTATATGCCTTCCTCTGATGCATTACTTTTATTGTTCCTTGATAATGTGAGTAGTCACGAAAGTACTTGGTATTTCTCTATTCTTTCACAGTGGTTTTTTGCATATATATTATATATATATATATATATATATATTTATATATATATATATATATATATATATATATATATATATATATATAATATATATATATTAATATATATATATATATATATATATATATATAAATATATATATATATATATAATATAATATATATAATATATATATTAATATATATATATATATATATAATATATATATATATATATAATTATATATATATATATCGTGCCGAATAGGCAGAACTTGCCATCTTGGCTTAAATAGCAACGCTCATCTTGCCATACAGGACAAGCAAAAATTTGTGTATGCAATAATTTCGCCAAAATCATTCTTAACCGAACGAAAAAAATATATTTCATTGTGTTTGTTTAGTATTAAATTATTGTAAACAAATCTAAAATATATTTAGTTGGGTTAGGGTAAAATAAATTGTTCTTGTTATAATAAGGTTAGGTAAGTTTTATAAGTTACTTATGGTGCAAAATTAAAAATTTTTGCATTAACATTAATGAAAAAAAATATATCTTTAAACGTACAAGAGAAAATTTTAGAA